CCAGGCTACAAGCAGGGAACTGGATGGGAAGTGTGGCCACCGGGATTAGAACTAGTGCCCATATGGGATCCTGACACATGCAATGTGAGGACTTTGGCTGTTAGGCTACCACATTGGGCCCACCAATGATAATCTTACCATCTTTCACAAACGCGATGAGGTTCAAGAGCTACTTGATGAACAAAGCCAGGAACAGGGCTTGGGACAAAGTGCACCTGTGGGCTATTCTCTGGCTTCTTGTCCCGAATCATCTCAATCATCTCGCTCTTCAGGTGACAACCCCGCGCTCCGCCCCCTCAACCTCTCACGGAGCTGGGAGCTTCCTGAGCCCAGTCCCTCCCCCACCCTGAGCAGCCGTGGCAGCCCCTAGCTCCCAGCCGCTCCCCAAGGCTGTGTGAACCCCTTCGTCTTTGCCTGAAATGGTCTTACACAAGTTCACTCCCCAAGGCAGAAACCATCCATCTCTGGCCAGTGGGTCACTGCTGCACGTTCATCGTGTGTCCCATGGGGGACGTGGCCCAGGGAAGCAGAAGGTCTCCCCTGTACTCTGCTGCCATGCCTCTCCCTCCACTCCACTCTACTTCTGCCCTGTGTGAACCTGGGTGGATCACCACACACCCACCCATCTCACAAGGTACATGGAAGGAGGCGGTGATTGAAGGAAGACAGGACAGTCAAAGAGGTTCCAAGACATTTTGTTTTAGGCTCCTGGAGACTCACATCAAACACAGCACCTGTCGGATGTTGGCATCCTGGACACCCACGTGGGGTAGACTCCGGTGTAGTTCCAGGCTCTTGAATTCAGCCCGGTCCAAGCCCTGGCATTTGTGGAGTGAGCCAGTGGATAAGGACTCTCTCCCCGCCTCTGCCCTTCAAACATGGGTAAATAATTACATGAGAAAATACCCACTGCTTACCAACCTAGCCCTCCCCTTGGCACCACTGTGCCTTAATCCCCCAGGACTGGTTAGTGCCTAACGGTTTGGACACGATTTGCAAGACCCTGTTCTCCAAGGGGCAGCCTGCCACCTAGCGGCGGCGTCATGTCATGACGTTCTTTAAGATGTGGCTTGGCATTCTGCCATTAGCGCCCTCGGTGGGAAGCCCCACTGGTGTGTATGTCCTGGGGCAGCCAGGTGTCTGGCGTGGCTGAGTTCTTTCCCAACTTCTTCCTTGTTTTAGAACTTATTGTGGGGGCCAGCGCCATGGTTCATTTGGCTAATCCTCCACCTGCAAGTGCCAGCATCCCCTACGGGTGCTAGTTTGTGTCCTGGCAGCCCCCGCTTCCCATCCAGCTCTCTGCTTGTGGCCTGGGAAAGCAGCAGAGGACGGCCGAAAAGCCTTGGGACCCTGCATCCATGTTTGCACGGCTCAGCGATGCCCCACTGTGCGTGGATAGCTCGTCTTATTTATCCTGCTCACCTGCTGAGGGACACTGGATTGTTTCTACCTTTTGGCTATTATGGGTTTTTTTTTTTTAATATTTTTATTGCAAAGTCAAATATACAGAGAGGAGGAGAGATAGAGATGATTCACTCCCTAACTGACCACAATGATGGGAGCTGAGCTGATCCGAAGCCAGGAGCCAGTAGCCTCTTCTGGGTCTCCCACGCGGGTGCAGGATCCCAAGGCTTTGGGCCATCCTCGACTGCTTTTCCAGGCCACAAACAGGGAGCTGGATGGGAAGTGGAGCAGCCAGGACACAAACCAGCAGCCATATGAAGTCCCAGTGCTTGTGAGGTGAAGGTCAGTCACTGAGCCACAGTGCCAGGCCCTGTTCGTTCATTTTGAATGGATTTTGTATAGTGTTAAGAAAGACTTCCACTGGGCCAGGGCAATGGTTCCACTGGCTAATCCTCTGTGCCGGCATTTCAAACAGATGCCAGAAAGGCTCCAACTTGATTTTTTAAAAATATTTTAAAATTTTTTCTTTGAAAGGTAGAGTTAAACAGAGAGAAGGAAAGACACAGAGAAAGATCTCCCATTCATGGTTTCACTTCCCAAAATATCTGCAACAAGCATCACTGATGTGTAATGACAGCTGAACGGGATGTGGGACAGGCCGGACCAGTCTGCTGCACATCCTGCAGGCACAGAAACCGGGGCCGAGAGCTGCCCTGCTGGGGTTACTGGGAGTCGCTCCAACTAGACTGCAGCTCCCACTGGTGTGCGTGAGGGCTGGGTGTGTGCTGGGCAGGGCTGAACTGGGCCACAGCAGCTGTCAGCTTGTGTAAGAGATGGGGCTGGGGACAGAAAACCATACTACTGCAACCACCAGTGGGTATACAGTCTGATGTGGATGGCGGACTGAGCCAGACCCCACACTGGGTGGCGCACACAGGAGTCAGGTCTGAGGTCAGCTCTGGGGAGGTTTCTTTGAGGACCTCTCCCCACCAACAACTGGACTGCTACATGCAAAACTCCAACCGCAGGGAACACCACAGGATCGGTGGTCTGACCATAGAGTGCATGTGTCAGAAGTGACCCGCTGAAGCCTGTGCAGTGGATAACACGCCCAGATGCACATGGAGGACATGACGGGTCACTGAGTTCTGCAGAGGGCACCCAGCACCTTGGATGGAAGGACAAAGTGGATAGCTCTCCTGGCCAAGCTTTGGCAGCAAACATCTGGGCAAGTGGGAACACCAGGGTGGCCTGTGTCAGCTCACGGATCTTGGAAGGATTTCCTCAACCTTGGAGCAATGAAACCAACAGCTCAGACCTATCGAATCCTCTTAGGCAGAACCCTCGGAACATGCTCCACATCAGGGACCCTGGGATGACATCGGGTGGCCGTCCCCCACCCGGAGGTGCTGATGCGATTACGTTACTGGAGCAACACTTCTCCCCTTTTTTCCCCCTTCCCTCAGATCCAGGAAGAAGAAAAAAAAATTGGAAGCAATTGTCTCACCCACTTTTCCCCCATGCCTCAGTCCTCCCCACCCTAATCAGTGGTCTGCATGGGTATACATCCTTTTCAACTATGTAAACATCATCAAAAATATAATCTATTATTTAAAAAAAAAGAAAGTAAAAAAAAAAAGTATCTGCAATAGCCAGAGCCAGGCTGATCCAAAGCACTTGAACCATCCTCCATTGCTTTCCCAGGCTCATTAGAGGGGAGCTGGATCAGACATGGAGCGGCCAGGACTTGAAGCAGCACCCGTATGGAATGCCAGCGTCACAAGTGGTGGCTTAACCTACTACATGCCAGCCCTAAGCTTTTCATTACTCACTGCAACAAGACGTGAGTTCCAGGGTTAGAGATTCCATTGATTTCGAGTAGCAGTGGGTGCCACCACTTTTTTTTTCTTAACTATTTCTTTAAAAGTCAATGTTAGAGAGAGAGAATTTTCATCCATTGGTTCACCTCAGCCCCAACAGCCGCCGTGGTTGGTCCACACCCATGCATGGGCTTAGAACTTCCAGGTCTCCCATGTGGGTGGTAACAACCCAGGCACTTGGGGCGCCTTTCACTGCTTTTCAAGGTGCCTTAGTAGGGAGCTGGATTGGAGGCAGAGCAGCCAGGACTCGAACCAGTGCTCTCCTGTGGGAGGCAGGCATTGCAGGCAGTGGCTTAACTGGCTACACCACAATGCTGACCCCTAGAAGACCCTTAGGTGAGGCTCACATTATCTAGTCAAGACCCACGGTGTTACACTTTCTTCCCAGGAAAGGACTACTTTAGGATGCACAGCTTGTTATCTGAAAATGAGAGAAGAAGTAAGTTTTCCAGCGAGGCTAGTCTCGGTACCCTCAGTAGCATGTCGATGGTGTTATCCCACATCCCCAGTACTGGGCATAAGGTTTCAATTTATCTTTCTCCAATGATTAATGAGAGCATCTTTCTTATATTATTGATGAGGCTTTCTTAACTTTTTAAGAAAGGTTTATTTACTTACGTATTTGAAGGAGTTACACAGAGAGGGACAGATCTTCCATCCCCTGGCTCAGTCACCCCAACGTCTCCTAAAGCCAAGAGGCTGCAACTCCAGCTGGTCTCCCAAGCGAGTGGCAGGGCCCAACCACTTGGGCCATCCCCTGCTACTTCTCTAGAAGCCAAGGCGGCCCGGAAACAGGCACATCTCAACGGCTCTGGTCCTGTCGGCCTCTTTCAGGCTCTAGCTCGGATTCCGCCCGCAGCCCGGCCAGGAGGGCTGCTCCCTGCTTCCTGCTCCCTGCGCCTGAATCCTCTGCGGCCACCAGGAGGCGCTCGCGTCCCGGTCCTGCGCACAAGAGCTGCTTGGCCCGCCCCGTCCGCCCCGCCCCTCCGTCGCCCCGCCCCGTCCGGCCTCAGTCCCTCCCCTCCTCGTCCCGCCCCTTCTACCCTCTGTTCCGCCCCTCCATTCGTCCCGCCCACTCCGTTCAAACTCAGTTCCGCCCCTTGCCCCCGCCGTCCCGTCGCCCCGCCCCCTCTCTGGTCTCAGTCCTGCCCCTCACGTCCAGCCTCGGCCCCGCCCCTCCCGTCGCTCCTCCCCTCTCGTCGCTCGGCCCCGCCCCGTCCGCCCACGGCTCAGCCCCGCCCCTCCATAGCCTAGTAGCCCCGCCCCGCCCTGTCTCGGTCCCGCCCCTCCCGTTGCTCCGCCCTTCCCGTTCTCCCGAGGCCCCGCCCCGTCCTGTTGCGGCCCCCTCCCGTTCTCCCGCGGCCCCGCCCCTCCCGTCGCTCCGCCCCTTGCGTTCTCCCGCGGCCCCGCCTCGTCCTGTCGCGGCCCCGCCCCTCCCGTCGCTCCGCCCCTCGCGTTCTCCCGCGGCCCCGCCCCGTCCTGTTGCGGCCCCGTCCCGTCCTGTCGCGGCCCCGCCTCTCCCGTCGCTCCGCCCCTCGCGTTCTCCCGCGGCCCCGCCTCGTCCTGTCGCGGCCCCGCCTCTCCCGTCGCCCCGCCCCGTCCGCCCTCGGTTCCTCCGGTGTGCCCCCCCCACCCCGCTTCCTCCCGGCGCCCCGGATCCCCTCGAGTCACTCCCGCTGCTCCCGGTCCCGCCCGCGCCGCCGCCGAGGTGCAGCCATGGGCCCCGCCGCGCGTCCCGCGCTCAGGTCGGCGCCGCCGCCGCCCCCGCCGCCCCCGCCGTCGCCGCTGCTGCTGCTGCTGCCGCTGCTGCCGCTGTGGCTGGGCCTGGCGGGGCCCGGGGCCGCGGCGGACGGCAGTGAGCCCGCGGCGAGGCGGGCGGCGGCTCGGGCCGTGCGGGTGGACGTGAGGCTGCCGCTGCAGGACGCGCTGGTCCTGGAGGGCGTCACGCTCGGCCCCGAAGCCGACCCGGCAGCCCAGCTCGGGGGCCGCCTGCTGCTGGTGAGCGCCGGGGCCACTGTCCAGACTCGTCCCCGGACCCTAAGCCGTGCATTCTGCATGCCCGGCCTGACTCCCCTTTTCCTGTCCGTGGCCCTGGACCATCCAGATGGACACCGTGGAGGCTGAGCAGAACGTGCCGGCGGAGGACTGGATTGCCGTGGCCTACGTGGGCAAGGAGCAGGCGGCCCAGTTCCACCAGGAGAATCAAGGCAGCAGTGACCCGCGGGCCTACCCCAAGGCCCTGATCCAGCAGGTGCAAGCGGTGGGAGAGGGAGGGGAGCTGGAGCCTGAATGGGTCGGAAGGCTCCAGGTGGAGTGGGGTGTGGGGACAGAGAGAACTGGACCAGACCTGGGTGACTGAACCTGTGTGTTGGGGAGCTGGGGCAGGAGACTCGGGTTGTGAGTGGGGTGTGTGGGCCAGGAGTGTGCCAGCTTCCCGCCGTCCATCCCGCAGATGCAACGGGCCCTCTTTCTGGGAGCTTCTGCGCTGCTACTCCTCATCCTAAACCACAATGTGGTGCGAGAGGTAAACAGTAGCACTACCAGGTCTGGGGAGCGGGGCAGGGGCGGCCCGAGAGGGGGAGGCCGCTGACCTCCAAGCTCTCCCTCCCGCAGCTAGACATGTCCCAGCTCCTGCTCAGGCCGGTCATCGTGCTGCATTACTCATCCAATGTCACCAAGCTACTGGAAGCTCTGCTACAGTGAGTGGGGGGTTGTCCCCCCAGGCTAGAGGCCTGGGGAGCTTGTGTGCTCCCTATGGACTACAGCTCCTGGGATGGGAAAAGGAATGAGAGAACCACCAGGCCCACGCCCCCTCTGTGACTTCCACTCCAAGGAGGGTCCAGGCCACAGCTGAAATCACCAGCGGAGAGTCCCTGTCGGCCAACCTCGAGTGGACGCTGACCCTGTGGACCACCTGTGGCCTGTCCAAGGATGGCTATGGAGGATGGCAGGACCTGGTGTGTCTAGGAGGCAGCCGTGCCCAGGAGCAGGTGGGTGCGCTGGTGCTGGTGGTGCTGAGGGGGGGTGGCATGCATGCCTCGTCTGGCATGGCTGGCATGAATGTTGAGTGCCAGGACACAGGAGGATGCTTGGTGCAGCACCTGCTGCTTGTTGGCAAGTCCTTCTCCCCTCTGGTGGGCTTCTGATTTCTCCCTGCCTGCAGAAGCCCCCTACTCCTCAACCTGGCGGTCTACCCTTCGCTTCTCCTGGTCAGTCATCCTGGTTTTCCCCAGGCTAGGCATCTGGGGTGCAGAGGTCTCCTGCAGTGTCTCTCCAGCCTCCCCTCTGTGTGGGGCGGGGATAGGCCAGTTTTTCTGGTGTGCGCCCTCCAGCAGGTGCCAGCTAATACTGGGCACGCAGGTCAAGCTACGTGGCAGGCACTCTGGTTCAAATCCTGGCTCTGAATCTTCAGCCCAGTGGTGTCAGGCTGAGAGTTTAAGCCTCTTGCTTCATGATCTTTGTGAACAGGGGTGGGATGCTCATTACCCACCTCAGGGGACTCACCTGCACCCCTGGACGGAGTGGGCACATTGCAGGAGACCGGGAGGAGGTGCTCGAGGAAGGAGTTGAACTAGAGGGATTGGAAGCAGGAACATACTTAGTCTGTGGGTTGGCTTGGTTGTGCCGCTGACCCAGGACTCAGCCCTCAGCCCAGGGCCTGGTCACCATCCGTATAAGCTATGGGGATCCAGGGCTGTGGTGTCCGTGTGTCAGGGCTATTTGATGGGCCACATGTTTTCTGCTTGGTGGGAAACCCTACCCTGCCCTCCTGTCTCACCTGGGCCTTCCTATGATACCTCCAGGAAAGCCAAACTCCCACTCCCCCAACTTCCTCCCCCGTGTTTCCCCCCACCACACAAACCCCATGTTTGCTGGTGCCCCCAAGTACTAAGGTATTGGCCAACCCTGCCCCTGGGAGACCTCACTCTGTCATGGCCCCTGGCTCGGTGAGGACTGGTTCAGCAGGGCCGGGTCACTAGCACAGGGCAGCTCTAGCCCTGGGCTTGTGTCGGGGAGAGGAGTCTATTCCGGGGAGCACGTGAGCTGGCTGTCACTTAGCAGCGTCTCCTTCTCAGCACATCATTTCTGAGCCCCTCTCATCATAGTTGAACATGGGCACTGATTGGGGAAGGATGGGATGGCAGAGGGCAGGAGGGGGTTAAAGTGTGTTTGTCACAGCACATCCACGTGAGCATGTGTGCTGGAGTGGGGATGGTGCGGGTTTTGCTTGCTGTGCCACATCACTTCCTGGGCCTGCTGCCTGGTGGACACTGCCTGGCAGCCACAGCACATGGGTGGGAGCTAAGTCAAGGTTGGCAGGGTGTTTGTGGGAACCCTGAGGTTTTTAGGTGTCCTCCTGGGTTCTCCTCATCAGATTCATTCACTGTATGAAGACCATGCAGGGCACTGGGGGTTCAGGCATGGTCTCCTCCTGGCCATCGTGGGCTGCAGGGAAAGTCTGGGGTGACTACAGGGGCAGGGGGGCTGGTGCAGCCTCTGAAGGAAGGGGTGTCTACAGGCATTAGCCACAGGAAGAAGAGAACTCCCAAGACAGGGAGCAAATACAGAGGGGATGGGGACCAGGAGTATGGGACCATGAGAAGAGGCAGACTGTGGGACGAGGCAGAGGAAGCCCCAGAGAGGGGTGTCAGGCAAGAGAGTGCCCTCTGGCTGTGCTGGGTGGGAAATGGGCAAGTGAGGCTGGAACAGCAGAGACTTATGGAATGGAGAAGACACACACACACACACACACAGAGGGTGTGTGACCTTTGTGGCCCAGGTAGGTGGCTGGGTGGGTGGGGCAGGGCCTGGGAAGGAGCAGGAGAAGGTGTGGATATGCAGGTGGGGAGTCTGAGGCCTCCAGATTCCATGGGGCCAAATGGCGGGTGGGCTGCTCAGGAGAAGGTGAACCCAGGGACAGGTGTGATACTGGCACTGGCTGCAGCAGCACTGAGGTCCCCAGCACTCTCCCACCTGCTCCTGAGGGCTGGGAGCGGTCCCATAGCCCTTGACCTCTGCTTCTCCCCCCGCCCCCAGAAGCCCCTGCAGCAGCTGTGGAATGCCATCCTGATGGTGGCCATGCTCCTTTGCACTGGCCTTGTGGTGCAGGCCCAGAGGCAGGCTTCGCGGCAGAGCCAGCCAGAGCCCGGAGGCCAGGTGAGAACCAGCCCTGGAGGAGCCCTGGGTGCTGCAGCCCTGGGGCCTTGGGGTCGGGGTGGGTGGGTAGTGATGGGGAACCATGTCTCTATTCCCTGCTCCATAGGTGGACCTGTTCCAGCGGCGCGTGGTGCGGAGGCTGGCATCCCTCAAGACGCGGCGCTGCCGTCTGGGTAGGGCAGCGCAGGGCCTACCAGGGCCGGGCCCCGACACCTGCGCTGTGTGCCTGGACTACTTCTGCAACAAGCAGGTGCATGACCTGGGCTGCCCGGCTCCCGAGAGACCTCAGCACCTGCTTGTCACAACTCCCCACCAGAGCTACAGAGAGCAGGATTGGGGTGGGGGAGCAGGCCTCACAAGGTTTCACTTCCCCCTGCCCAGATCCTGTGGCCTGAGGGCTCTGTCCTTCTTCCATGCCCTGTAGTGGCTGAGGGTGTTGCCTTGCAAGCATGAATTCCACCGGGACTGTGTGGACCCCTGGCTGTTGCTCCAGCAGACCTGTCCGCTGTGCAAGTTCAATGTCCTGGGTGAGTACCGGGGTGGGGCTTTGGCCGAACCCATCTCCCTCCCACCCTTTGCCCATTCTTCTCTCCCTGTTACTTTTTCTCCTCCTGGCAGGAAACCACTACCCAGATGATTAGTTGTCCCGGGCAGGGACTCTGCACGTGGGGGTGGAACCCCTTCACCTACACATCCCGGCCTTCAGCCCGGGGCTCCTAGAACAAGATGGCAGATGGATGGGACAGCAAGCCCTGTGTGGATGGCTGGAAAGGATAGGGTGTTGTTCTGCTGCAGGGCCAGGTGGCCCACCCGCGTGCACACTGGGAAGGAAGAACCCACAGTCCCAGGCTGAGGACACGGAGCCAGGACCTGCCTGCCGGGCAAGGTGGGGAGGTTGCCTTGGGACCCTTCTCTGCACCCCTGAGATGTGCACCTGTGTCTGCCCCTCTCACAGGCAGCTTCCAGGAAGCTGTGGGGGCCAGTGCTGCTATTGTAGGGGGTGGGGGGCTCTGGGAGCTCCCTGTGGCCGGGGGGCTTATTTATTGGGGGAGGGGGAGATGGGTGGGAGTAAAGTTGGAGGGCAGCGCTGTCTGGACTGTCTTCCAGCATGCATCTCGGTCAAGCCTGTGATGTTAAACCCAGAGCTCCTGACCAGTTCCCTTTGGCCATGGGGCCCTGGGAGCCACAGTCTGGGCCTCCTTCTCATGCCAGGCTAGGACCAGAGGCCTTGGGCAGCATCTGGTCCTAAACCTAGGTTGGTGCCATAAGTCAATTGTCCAGGATACTTGAAGCCACAAGATATATGTGGTGTGTCTTCCAGGGGCATCCATTTTTTTTTTTTTTAAAGAGTTGGGGTAGGAAAGGTTTAATAGTAAAATAAATATATTTTAACATAAGATGTGAAGTTTGTGTGGATACTTTGATATTTAAAAAGGGGGCCAGCACTGGGTTATTTCACAGCTTGCAACACCACTGGTATACCACGTCAGAGTGCCAGATCGAGTCTCTGCTAACTCCACTTCCCATCCATCTCCCTGCTGACGTTCCTGGAAAGCAGTGGAAGATGGCCCAAGTCCCGGGGTCCCTGTGCCCATGTGGGAGACACAGGCTTCTGGCTTTAGCCTGGCCCAGCCCTACTATCCCTATTGCTCTGCCTTTCAAATATACCTTAAAATTTAAAAAAATAATAAAATAGGGCCCGGCGCGGTGGCGCAGGTGGTTAAGGTCCTCACCTTGCACGCCCGGGATCCCATATGGGTGCCGGTTCTATCCCGGCAGCCCAGCTCCCTGCCTGTGGCCCAGGAAAGCAGTCGAGGACAGCCCAAAGCTTTGGGACCCTGCACCCATGTGGGAGACCCGGAAGAGGCTCCTGGCTTCGGATCGGCATAGTATCGGCCGTTGCGCTCACTTGGGGAGTCAATCATCGGACGGAAGATCTTCCTCTCTGTCTCTCCTCTCTGTATATCCGCCTTTCCAATAAAATAATAATAATAATAATAATAATAATAATAAAATAAAAAGAAGGAGGAAATCACCTTGGAGTGTTCTACTGCCTTGGGTAGCCGGGACTCTAAGATTGCCCCCCAAGACCCTCTCAGCCACACTGCTGTGCACACACCATGTACCATCTCCAGGATGCAGACTGAGGCATCTCCCATCACTGGGCCGTGTGACGCAGCACAGCTGATCTGTAAACAGTGGGCAATCAGTGCGGGGAGAAATCTCTGCTCCTGGCTTAAAGGCAGAAATAGGAACCCGGGGCCTACGGTCATGAGCACCAAACACTGAACTTTGGAATGAGTCTTCCCCCAGAACCATCGGAGAGGACCACAGCCTACAAGGCACCATAGCAGTAAGGGGTGCCAAGTAGTACCTGCCATGCTGGCTCAGCACCACACAGCCCTGTGGCCCTTGCGTGTCTGCTGCACCACACTACCTGAAGGCTTCATCCACCCTATGTGCCCAGCCACGTTCCCTCCTGTCCTGCAGTGGCCCGTGGCAGGTAGTAGCTCCTGGAGGAACACTGGGATGCCACATGCCAGGCATGGCTGGTGCTACCAGTGCCTGGTCATAGGGCACCCTGGGCTACGAGGTGAGTGGTCTGGTAAATCTAGGCCTGGCCAGCTGGTCTGGCTGTCCAGCTGGGTGGGCAAGGCTTGGCCCTCTGTCAGTGGTGTTCCTCGGTGAAGACAGTCTTGATGTTCTTGGGCCCTGAGTGTCCCCTGTGCCCCGGATGCATGGCCCTCCCTGCCCTCTGCCTGCCTGGAATGCCTGGAGGACTGGCCCTGCCCCCTGCACACCCTTGCTTTAGCCCTCCTCTTAGTTGGTGCCTCGCATCACCTCTTCACCTCTAGGTACTTGGCTAGAGGGGGGCAGGATGCCCTTTCCCTGGCCAGCTGCTAGAAGCTTCTTGCTGTCCTCCTCGGGCTCTCTTCTCCCATTAGCTCTGGAAGGAGGGACACAGGAAGCTCCCCCATGGCAGCTGACCTGCACCTGCTCCTGCCCAGGACAGGATGGGGAAGGAAAAGCTCAACCCAGACTCAGCTGCAGTGTGAGGCCAAAGGTCACAGCAAGCAGGTGGCTGGAGTTTTTTATTACCTTGCAGGAGGAGCAGGGGGTGTTGCCAGCCCCTGCCCACAGCCTCCACCCCTGCTACTGCAGGTTACATGGGTCGTTCCTGGGTTGTTTCTGGGTAAGAAGAGCCGACCTGGTCTTGGCTTGGTGAGAGTCTCCTCCTCAGCCTGGCCAAGGCCCGTATGGGGTTCTTGGCACAGATGGCCAAGTGGGTCCCATCTTCCAGGGAGGACTTGCTGGGCTGGCTGCTGGGTTGTCGCGGTGGGGACACTCGGGCCTGGCGTGGTAGGGTCCTGCTCGCACTGCCCACCCTACTGCCAGGAAGGTGCCGCCTGCCCAGGGGCCTGAGTGGGGAAGCAGATCCCAGGATGCTCTGTGAGCCAAGGCAGCCGCCACTCCACCAGGCTGCCCACTTCCCACAGCACCTCACTCACCCTGGGGATGCTCTCGGGGTCTGGGTCCCCTTGCCAGGAGGGGTTTGCAGTTGGTCCTGCGGGATCAGCTGCAAAACAAAGCCAAGGTCAGGAGGGCTCAGGGAATCCCCTCCCCACTGTAACAGAGGGAGTGTCGCAGCCCTGGATGAGCAGAGCCGAGGTGGTTACTGGGAAGGCTGCTTCCCACCCACGGTTCCTGATTGCACTTGAAACCACGGTGGGAAAAGGGGGATGTCTGGAGATAGAATAGCCGGGATCTGGAGCATCCTCACACTTTTTGTTTTTCTTCTTTTCAAGATGTACTTATTTATTTGAAAGGCAGAGAGAAAGTGAGATCTTCCCATCAGCTAGTTCACTCCCTAAATGACTTTAGTAGCCAAGGCTGGTCCAAGCTAAAGCCAGGAACTCCATTTGAGTCTCCCCCTGCAGACTGCCAGGGTCCCCAAGCACTTAGGCTATCTTCCACTGCTTTCCCAGGTACATTAGCAAGGAGCTGGGTTGGAAGCAGAGCAGCCAGGACTCAAACTAGTGAGTGCTCTTGTGGGATGCAGTGTGGCAGGCAGCAGCTTAACTTGCTGCACCACCTGACACTGGTCCCACTTACACCCTCTTGAAATGTGAAACAGGCTTCACAAACCGGTGGCCTTAGGAGCCAACATGGTGGCAAAGCTAGGAAAGCCGCCACTTGCAATGCCGGCAACCTATACCAAGTGCCTCTTCAAGTTTTAGCTGCTCCACTTTCAATCCAGCTCCCTGCTAATGCACATGGGAGGGCAGTAAGAGAATAGCATGCAGTTCCCAGCTCCTGGCTTCAGTCTGGCCTATCCCTGGCTGGTACAGTCATTTGGAAGAACCAACGGACTGGAGATATTCTCCCTCTTTGTCTCTCTCCCTCCTTCCCTTCTTTCTTTCTCTGTACCCCTGTCTTTCAAATAAATGTTTAAAATATAAAAAATATATATCTTTAAGTAAACAAAAGCATGGGGGCTTAGCCCAAGTGGCTAATCCTCCACTTCCAAGTGCCAGCATCCCATATGGGCACCCATTCAGGTCCCAGCTGCTTCAGTTCCCGTCCAACTCTCTACTTGTAGCCTGGAAAGCAGTGGAAGATGGCCAAAGACCTTAGGACCCTGCACCTGTGTGGGAGACTTGGAAGAAGCTCCTGTTTCCTGGCTAAAGATCAGCTCAGCTCTGGCCACTGTGGCCCTTTAGGGAGTGAACCAACGGACGGAACATCTTTCCCTGTAAATCTGCCTTTCCAATAAAAATAAATAAATCTTTAAAAAAAAAAAAAAAGAGAAAAGAGAGCATAAACATGACGTAAAGCCACCTGAGATGATGTGGTTCTTCACAGGCTTCCAAGGCACTATTGCTGCTGGGCAGGGGCCTCCTCCAGGTCCCCAGAAGCCCCCAAGCCCCTGCCCACCTTGAGGCCGCCCTGCTGGGCCACCTCCTGGATTTTGGACAACATCGACTCGAGCCGTTGGTTCTCCTCCTGCAGAACTCGGATGCGGATGCCGTTGGCCTGCACCTGTCTCTCCATGTCGTCGGTGATGTTGCCAGAACCTACAAGGATGTGCTCTCTAGGGACCCACCCTGGGCCCCATGGACTGTTGGGGGGAACCTCAGAGAGTAGATTCAGAGCAGGGGACCCTCCACCCCCCACATTGCCCCCACCACTGGCATGCCTCGGGTTCCATCCCCTGGTTCCTACTTTGGATCTGGGCCTCCAGGGGCCCGTGCAGGTCTGGAAAGGCCACCAGCAGCCGCTCCCTCTCTTTCAGCACCCCCAGCTCCTGCTCCAGCTCCGAGATGGTCAGCTGCAGGTCTGTGGCTGTCTGTTCTAGGTCCTGCTTCTCTTGCTGCAGGCTCTGCAGCAGCTCCTGGGTCAGGGCAAGGCTCACATCTAGCCCTGAGGATGTCCCAGACTCTAACCCCCTCCTCATGCTCTACTCCCACCCACCCCCATCGGCACCTGCTGGGCCTGGAGCTGGCACTGCCACTGCTCTCTGTCGCTCTGCAGGCTCTGTAGCTGTACTTCCGCCTGGGCTTGCTGCGCCTCGGCCTCATCCAGGCTGCCCCGCAGCTCCTCGCGCTCCTGGTCCAGGCTGTCCAGCTGCTGGAGCAGGGCTCGCTGTTTTGCCTGCAGGGACTGCACAGAGCGGACAGGTGAGGAGCCATGAAGCCCATGGGAATAGGCCCAGTCATGCAGGGCAGAGGAGGCTATGCCATCTATGATCTGCCATGCTCGTCCCCTCGCGCTGGGTATGGCTGTGCTTAGTGGGAAGAGATGCATGTGCAGGAGGAGGTCAGCTTGCAGGGTGCACACCCAATGATGTCGAGGTCATGATCCCCATTTGTGGCCTAGAAAGCAGTTGGGTGACTGTCGGCCAATCACTGACATGCCCTCACAGAGGGAGCCTGGCAACTAGGCTTTGCTTCTCTTTCTCAGGTCCCCAGTGCCCGTATTTCCCGACACTCACTGAGTGTAAGGCAAGAGGAGCCATGGCTGCACTGAGCATCCATAAAACGGGGGCGGGGGGGGGGTCAAGTCTCTGTCTCCTACCATTACCTGCAATGTCTGGGTCCCAGCAGACACCTAAGCATGGTGGCCAGGACCATGCAAGGTACTGAGAAAGCTGCCTGCTCAGGACTGAAAGACTTCACCTCTAGCAGGGCCATGCCTGACTGTGGAGACCTTATCAGCAGCCCCAGGCATTGGTCTAGCTCCAAGGACTCATCCCAGCAGCAGCAGCCCTGGATTCCCCTAGCAGGTGGGATCCCCCCTCGGAGGACCCCTGTAGTACATCTGCGCCCCTCAGATACCTGGCAGGAGAACGATGACCCATCTGCCCGTCTGCCTGTCCTTGTTGTGTAGGAAGCTTCATTGGGTGGAACCCATCCCTGGCACCTCCCAGAGGTTGGCTGAACTTAGTCTCGGGAAAGGTTAGTCAAACTGAAACTGGGGTGTGTGCTGAGGAGTGGGAGGAGGGACTGGGGCCAGGGAGACCAGGGCTCGCCTCACCTCCTGGTGGCGGACCATGCTGTCGACACGGGCCTTCTCCTTGTCCAGCTCTGTGCTGGCCCAGTGGATCTGCTGACTGGCCCCGTCCAGCCGTCCTGCCAGCAGCCGCACCTGCTCTTCCAGCTGCTGCACCTGTCTCTCGGCCGCAGCCCTGCGTTCACCTTCTCCCAGCAGCTGCTGGGCCTTGGCCTCTGCAGGAGTGAGGCTGGGTGTGGGAGGGGATAGGGCAGGGGAGCCCCAGTTGTGAGCCCCTTAGCAGGAGGGTCACACCTTGTCTCTGGGCCTGTGTCCTCAGCCATCAAGTGTGCCCCCACTAAACGTACTGCCTAGGTGGGTTTGGGAAACAGAAGGTGCTGTTGGAGTGGAAGGGGAAATCTCAGCTCAGGTCATTGCCTGCCCTCCAGAGGTTCCCTGATTCTATGCCCTGTGGGCTCAGGGGATAGAAGAGGAAGGACATGGCGAGGACACATGATGGGCTTCTTACCCGCAGCCTGTGTGGACTCCTGCTGCTGCTTTAGCTCCTCCTTCAGGGTGGCCACCTGCGTCTTTAGGGCACTTGTCTCTAGGGCAGCCAAGAGAGGGGGCCCTTCAGAGCATCCCTTGACCTGGCCCCCCAAATCTCTCTGCAGAGCAGAGGCAGCCCCCTGCAGCTGAGCTTGCAGAAGGGGCTCTGGGGAGGTGCCCGGAAGGCATGGGCCCCTCCCTCGCACCCTGCTTCTCCCTGGATAACTGCCTTGGTGTCTGTATCTCTCTGGGCCCCAGTGTCCTCCATGGGGGGCACGGTGGTGAAAGTGACTTACCCACATCATTCAGCCTCATGTCATCAGTGGGTACTGGCTGCTTTCCAGTGCCAGGAGGTGCCAGGGAACAAACTCTGGATCAATATCCCAGATACCTCCCTTTCTGATGGGACAAGCCATCCACCCTGTCGCCTAGTGTTTTCCTGGCTGGGCTGGATGGAACTCTGGCTGCTTGCGCTCCGTGTCCCTAGCTGGATGCACGAACACACCCCTCTTGGTTGCTGTCCCTCCCTGCCTCTCACCTGCTCCCCAGTCCCAGGTTCCCTTCACACAAACTCCTGGCCCTTGATGCCCTGGCTCAGGAGCTTGCTTCCAGGCACACCCAGGCCAAGGCCATGGTAGAGAGCACAGACCTGTGAGGAGCTGCATCTTGTCACACTCCCACGCGGCCTGGTGCCGCTCGGCCTCCTCTGCCTGCTGCTGAAGCTCCTTTTTGTCCTGCTGCAGTGCCTCCCCCAGCTCAGCCACACGCTTCTTCAGCATGTCTTTCTGGCCCTCAGCTTCCTCCAGCTGCACCCGCAGGGGCCCAACGAGCTGGGTGAGGGCCCCAACATGCTTGCTGATGCGTGCCAGGTCTTTGCTCTGCTCTGCGGCCCAGTGGATCATGGTGGCAGCCGGCAGTGGCTTCAGCCCAATGCTGTCCTGCACCAAATGGTGGAACTGGCCCAAGGATGAGGGCAAGTTCTGGCTCTGACACAGGTTGATGACCACCTTGCCCAACTCCTGCAGGCTGCCCTGGACGCTGATGCATGCATCACAGGGCACCAGGGCCGTCTCCACAGTCTGGGAATGAACGCTCTTGATGTTCTCAGATGTTCTGGCTGGACGCTGCAGGGAGTCGCTTCTGGAAATGCTCTCTGGCTCTTGGCAGGTCTGGGACAAGCCTGGCACCAGATAGGGGAGCTTGTTGAACTTGGCAGGCAGATATTCAGGGCTCCTAGCTGGCTCACCCTTGGCTGTGGGCTTGGAGGTGAAGGTCTCCCCTTGGCTTGTCCTTTTCTGTGGTTTGGGGGTGGAGGGGGGAGAAATAAGAGGAATCAGGTGAGGGACATGGAGATGACCAGTTCCCTAGGGAAGCTTTGTGATAGCCTTGTCTCAGTGCTCAGATGCTACCTGATTCCAGCATGAAGAAGAGAAAACCTTCCACTGGCTCCAAGTCCAGGTCTCCTCTCCGCTGCCCACCCCAAGCCTGGTTCCTGACGGGCAGCAGTGCTGCTAGGGAAGCTGGCAGGGTGTGAGGGTGACCCTAGCTGGGGGTGGCGAGAGGGTGAGGGGGCGAGGGGAAGGGTCTAAGGGCAGGGCCCATGCACCTGGGAGGCCGTCTGCTGGTAGAGCATGCCCAGCCTCAGCAGGCTGTTCCAGAAACGCTGGACCGTGAGCCCCACGGACATGCAAGGCCCCACTGCCCGAGTCGGAGGTATCACCTTCTCTGAGCTGAGGTTCTCCAAGTAGCTCGCACAGCTCTGAAGCAGCAGTAGGAGCCTGTGGGTGAATGGGCAGAAATACCAGGATTGGCATGGGTCTGTCTGCCCTCAGGTCTCACAAAAGTGGCAGTTCCTGGTTCTGGGAAAACAGGCCCAGGGCAGCGGAGACTTGGGAAGAGTGTAAGGTTACATGTAGCCAGCCAGCAGGGCCAATGCCAAACAAGCCAGGGGTCGCTTCTTCTGGGAAGCCCTCCCTGACCCCTGCACTCAGCTCAAGGGCTTTGTCTGGGCCTCGGGTGGCACACTTCTGCCTGGCTGTTATCCCATTGGACCAGACAGCTAGCTGCCTTGGCTGTATTTTGTGTAACTGGAACATTCCGGGTGAGCATCTGCCCTAATATCAAGGAGTCCAGAGCCTTTGCTTTGCACACCACAAAGCTGAGACTCCCCCAAGAGTGGAAGGCCAGGGAATGCGAGCTTCACTGATAGCACAACAAATGGGGCTGCAGGGATATCTCCTGGAGTCTTCCCAGCAGTACCAGGATTTGGGAAAAAATGATCCTGCATCTGGCCTGTGATTCACTCACAGAAGGAATGGGGTAGCCTGTGAGGTATCCAGAAAAAGAGCTGGCAACAGAAATTCTGAGTAGCAGTTACGGTGGCCTTGACACACAGAAAACTCTGAGGGCAGTGGTCAGTCCTATGGAATCACACATTGACCATCTGGGACAGCCAGCAACCCCCTGAGGGGACAGGGTAGGGCAGCATTGTACAGCACAGCACAGAAGGGGTCAATGGAGTGTGAGGTGGCTTGGAGGGTCTGCAGCTGATCTGACTCCTGGGAGAGAGAGGTAACTGGGGGGAGGGGACTGGAGGAGGACTGTCAAAGGACCAATGTCATTACCATAGCTGGAAGGGACGGCTTACCTGTCGATGACCAGCTCCAGCAGCACGGCGTGGGATAGTTGCGTGAACTCTGGGTCCCCCGGCACATGGTCATAGTGTTCCAGCAGAGCCACCATGTCGAGGTCACAGGCCACACGGTCAGGGAACTTCCAGGAGGGGAAGCGCACGGGCCCAGCACGGGAGAACACATCCACGATGGCGCCCTGCAGGTCGGTGAGGTCCTTGCGCAGGCTATCCATGCAGGCCTGGCTGCCTAGCAGGTGTGCCATCCTCACTGCTCCTGTGGTTGGCAGATGGGAACTCTGCAGCTGCTGCCTGGTTCCTAAGGCTGAGCTTCTACCTCGGCCTCCTCGGGGAGACATCTGAGCCCCAGCCCTGGGTGACAGGGCCTTTCAGGACCTGATCGTGGGTGGTCTTACCAGCCTTCCCCTCCCCCACCTTATCTGTCCACACCTGCCAAGCCCATTACTTCATAGGCGACTCCCAAGATCTGCCCCTGCTGGGTGTTGGGTGGCTATGGTTCTGAACATGAACGTGTCAGCCTCGGGACAGGTGTACAGCCAAGCAAAACACAGTCATAACTGTGGCATGCTGGACCACATCAGGTCATTGTCACACCTGCCTACACCATTGTAGTGGCTTCCAGGTATACCCCAGGACTGCATGCCTGCACCAGATCCTGCCTGATTGTGTCACGTTAACCCACAAACCCTCAGGGCTCCCTGGAGTACCAGAGAGAAAGACCACCCTCCAGCCATGTCTTCCCCCCACACACTCCCTCTCTCCAGCCTGTGTCCTACACTCCTCCGGCCCTCAGGCAGGAACAACACATAGCGCTTGGGTCCCAGCTACCCATTTCTGCATCCTTACTCATCTGTCTATCTGAATCATCCCTCTCCATCTAATTCCCATCACCTGGCTGACTCCTCTTCCCCTCCACTCCAGGAAGGCTTCCCTGAGCTCTCTCCAGGCTGGGATGGAGGACCATCGGCCTGGGATTCCAGTGTCTCATTCCTGATCCACTTTCTGCTAAGATCTCTCCAACGGATGCCACCACTGTGGGAGCCCCAGAGTGGTCAGCAAGGGGCTGCCCACTGTGCGTGCTCATTGGCAAATGAGTGAGCGAATGGGAGTGAATGAGGCAGGAAAAATGAAATCATACTCACTTTGACTTTGGTAGAGGTCAGGGCAGGGGGTGGGGAGGAGAGACGAATCCTGAAGCATAAAAGGAAAACGCGTATGGAGACCCAGACTAGGTGAAGTGCCCGGGTACAGATGCTCACTCTACTGTGCTTTAGTCACGCCTCTGCAATGAAGCACTATTACAGCTGACAGTCTAGCTTCCTGCGAGAGTATGGATTGTGTCTTGACTGTCTGCAAAGTGGCCAGGCCTCCTTGGGCTGAGGGCCAGCTGGAGCCGGGAAGCTCACAGGCACCCAGAGGCAGCAGCTGAGGGACACAGTGGACTCTCCTATCTCCCAGAGCCTGGATCCTGCACTCACCTCCACACGGGTACCTGCCTATGGTGCTGGAGCCACTGATTGTGTCCGTTTGTGTGTGGAGCTGGCAGTGGCCTCTGGTGCTCAGTGTCAGGGGCTCATTCCGTGTGCTTGGCTTCTTGTCTCCGGTGCAGGGTTGGCCCTGAACAGCCCTTGTGTCCCTAGGAACAGGTGAAGGCGAGAGATGGAGTGCATGGTCAGGCAGGGCCTATTGGGGTACAGGGGGCAGGCCACCGGGAAAGAAGGACCCAGGTGAGGCAAAGGACAGGTGCTGGAGCCTGCCTTGGACTCGAGCACAAAAGGTGTGCTGTCACTCAGGCCCGGGTCTGACTTGAGACCTCCTGTGTGCATCTATTTCCTGTATACAGAAGAGAAAGCTGGGTATCTAAAAGGTCAGGGTGTTAGTCCACAGTCATGGATGGGACGGGGGCTGGGACTCCAAGGCAGAGATCTCTGCTCAGTGCTCAGCCCAGGCTGTGTCTACAGAATCAGGACCCAGAAATGAAGTTCTCTTCAAGCCATGTATGAGGTTTGAGGTTTTCTACTAGGCCCTGATGGGGTGCAGGAAATGTTATCCCAGACTCTGGCACCTTGCGAACTGGGATAAAAAGGAGAAGCAAGCAGGTAAAGCTCCTTTTCCTCTTGTGGCTCCTTGCTGAAACAGACCATGACACCCAGGAAGCTCCTTGTTCCCCAGAGACCCTCATGGGACAGGGGTCCAGCCTCCCACCCAGGTGGGAAGGGATATTACAAAGATGCCAAGAAGGCTTACAACAGACAGGCCTTTGCTGAGTTCTCTCTGCTTGACTACTATGAGATTACACACTTTTGTCCCCAGTCATACTCCTGCACAGGCACCCCAGAAACACACTCGTTTCTGGGTCTGGCATGACGGCTCAGTGGCTAAATCCTCGCGTTTTAAGTGCCGGGATCCCATATGGGTGCCTGTTCGTGTCCTGACTACTCCACTTCCTTGCTTGTGGCCTGGGAAAGCAGTCGAAGATGGCTCAAAGTCTTGGGGCCCTGCACCCACGTGAGAGACCCACAGAAGCTCCTGTAACCTTGGGTATGCCTTGTGACACTTGTGGCTGCTGAGCTGGTCCCCAAGGTGGTCCCAGATGGCAGTTGTAGCTGCTTGGAAGAGTTGGAGCTGAGCCGAAGCCTGGAACCAGGAACTCAGTGCAGTATCCCATGTTCCAGGCAAGGCCCCAACTTTTTGAGGCATCACTTCCTGCCTCTTGTGTCTTTTTCCACTGAAAACTGAAGTTGAGCAGATAGGAGGATGGTTGGAGAAACGCCTAGGTACGTGTTGAGTGGAGGAGCCCTTGACACGAGTTTTGCTTATTTCGGAGAACCTGAGCCTGAAGTTGCCATTCCTGCAGTGTACTTGTGATGGCACCAAAGGCATGCATTGCCTGTAGTCAGGGCAGCCATGAACTTGACCTCTCTTTTTCCCCTTTTGCCTCCACTCCTGTTTAGGATTTTAAGCCTCTAATGAGTGCCTTCCCCCATGGGTAGAGATTATGCCTACCTCCCAACCAGTGTACCCATGGAGCTCCAAGGTGTCCACTAAGAAAGCATGTTCTGAACTTTGAAGACCAGATTGTCAGTTGTCAGTGTCTGACCTGAGACTGTCAATTCTCCAGGGTCTTGGGGGTGGGGTGGAATGCTGATGGGACTTGTGAAGAAAAAGCAAGAAATAATATCCACAAGAAGGGGCGGAAACAATGGCTTAACTGGCTAGTTCCCTGCCTGTCCACTGGCATCCTATATGGGTATCGGTTCATGTCCCGGCTGCCCCACTTCCCATCCAGCTCCTTGTTTGTGGCCTGGGAGAGCAGTAGAGGACAGCCCAAGATCCTGGGACCGTGCAACCACATGGGAGACCTAGAAGAAACTCCGGGCTCCTGGCTTTGTATTGGCTCAGCTCCAATGCCATTGCAGCCATTTGGGGAGTGAACCAAGAGGATATTTCTGTCTCTCCTCTCTGTAAACCTTTTTTCCAATAAAAATAAGTAAATGTTTTCAAAAATTATAAAATAATAGCCATGAGGAGACAAGTTATATGAAGCCTGGGCTTGGATTCCTTCAACAGCAACATCAATGCTGTACCTCACAGTCAGTTACAGGTAGATTACTATGATTACCAGAAGGTTTAAACGATGTCCAACACATTAATACCAACAAGGACTTAAACCCCTTAGGACAACTGTGTGATGCGGAAGTAAGCCTAGGCAGAAGAGGCAAACCTATAGACGACGCAAGCTTTCGAGGGGCAAAGGGACCGGTGGGAATCAGAGGCGAAGTGGAATTTGGTCTGAAGTGAAGAGAGGCTTAGAAATGAGGGGTTTTGAAGCAACCGGCTTAGTGGGAGGTGGATCCCCCAAAGTTAGAGGACAAGGAGACAGGCGGGTCGTGAGGTGAATGCTAGGACCTCCATGCGGGTGGGGCAGAACGTCTCACCTGTCTTCGGCGTCGCAGCTTAGCCTCTGTGTCTGACAGGCTCATGGGACTGCCCCCTCAAAACAGCGCCGGCGACTCACAGGATTTTCCGAAAAACACCGCCCCCTACTAGCCCTGGCGCCCGGACTGCTGCCATGGTAACGGCGTCGCCCGCGGAGAGGGCGGAAAGCGCGTCCCGGAGAGGCGGAACCGGAAGTGCGTCCGTTGTGCTCCGCGGCGACGTCTCGCTCGGCCTCCGCCATTTTGCGATCTCGTCCTCCCGCCAGTAGCGTGGAGGTTGTGTTTCTCAGGCCAACGGTCCCCGATATCCAGGCGGGCTGGCAGCCCTGAGCGTCGCGGTGATGCCGGCCGGGCCGGTGCAGGCGGTTCCTCCGCCGCCGCCCGTGGTCCCGGAGCCCAAACAGGTAACGGGGCCTCCCCGCCCCTCCCGCTCGGCAGCCCGAGCCCTGAGGCCTCGGCTGGGCCCTTCTCCTCCGGTCGCCGCGAAATGAGGGCTGTCGAATGGGTTCTGGAGTTGGCTCGCTACACCTGCACCACCTGGGAGGGAGGGCTCAGTCGGAAGGCGAATCTCTTTCCCCACCCCCGATCATTTGAATGGGACCGTGCGTTTTGATAAGATCCCGGGGCGAAACCTGCAAGGGGGTGAGAAGCCTTCATTCCCGGATGATTAGCCTTTGGGCTCCGCGGTTCCCCGGAATGTTTTGGTTGTTGGCGCTCGTGAATATCTCCTTCGTCCTTTACCCTGCGCCAGGTTCCGTGTTTGCCTCCCACCCCCGAATGAATGAGCCACACATGAAGTGCAGCCTTAAGGGAGGGAGTTCATAGTCCGAGTGGGAAGAGAGGCAGGTGTAGATTCGCAGTAAATGACTCGGAGCACGTCACTGATGGCCGTGTGGCCTGATCCGCCCTAAAATAAAAGCCTGAAATGCCAGGGGAGATTGGAGAAAGGAGGCCCATGGGGGTAACGGGTACTTTGGGGAAGAGTGGCCACCCGACTCCTCCCCTCCTTCCCTCCCCAGGAAAGGGAAGGAACAAAACCTTTATTCATTGGTTAAACACACACTATATGCCATTCGCTGCTTTGGGGTTCCTGATAATATCTGGAACACAGCAGAAAAGACTCAGGACTCTTTTCCCCCCTAATATTTCAGTCCCTCCGCAGGGCTGGCCTTTTCCCAGGCACAGGGGAAAGTTGTCACAGTGACATCACGTAGAAGTGAGCAGTGTGATGGCAGGAGGTGCCATTTCTCGGGGTTTGAACTTTGTCTTTATGGTGGGAGGGGACAGGAAAAGTTTTCAGTTGCGTA